GTTGTATCTTTGACTGTCTTTTGTGAAGTGCCCACCTTGAGTCGTTCATAAATAAGTGAGTAATACTGCCGTGTTTCTTGAAAATTTTCTTAGTTTCTTCATCTATGCAAGTCTTTGCACAATACTTTTTGTTTTGAATAAATTAAGGTCATAGAGATAGGTTCCACTCCCCGTTCATAAAGTGGAGCTTTTGAATTACAGTTTTGATTTCCTTTAAGTTCATTTTGTCTCGGGCTGTTTCTTCACTGTTTACACTCGCTTTTAATTTATGTCCAGACAGTTGTATAGCTCACGAGCCATCTCTGCGCCGTTAACGCTTCGAAGCCTGCAAGCTCTTGGAAGTTTAGAGTGGGAATCTTTATTCACTCAGGTTTTTCTTAATAAGCAGCGATACCCTTCTGCTGAGATCAATGAGAGATCCGAATAACCGCTGCTACTTGTGCGAAAAGCGGATGGGCAATCCTAAGTCCTTGAAGGTCTTCTTTCGATGTCCCACGAGAAGCGACCTTATTGAAAAGGGTGGTATTGGGTGCTATCGGAGACGTTTCCATAGAAACGGACCCAAACTGACCTAAAACATAATTAGCGGCAGAGTTTCTCGATATGATACTGTCTCATCTTTCTTGCAACTTTGCAGCGCTCGGCTACTCTCGGTTTTTCACGCTGGCTGTGGACAAAGTTCACCGCTGCTTGCTTTTTAATTACCTACTCTCGATTTTGTCGTTTTCCTTTGAAGCATGTGCTGTTTGTGAATTGAGGAGTATTCAGTAAATGAGAGACGATCTCACTGTGTTCGCTCATTTTTCGGGATTATGGTCTTCGGTGGGATTGCATATGCAATATTTATGCGTTTTAGCAGGTCCATAAAGCTTGTTTTAGCAAACATTTCTGATGCTTTCCTCCGTGTATCTTGCCGGGTTCACTAATGGAAAAGCAATATAACACAAGTTGGGTCTCCCATTTATCATACACGTCGCTTCCCGCTCGCTCTCCGTACACATTGCGTGATAGTGGCTTCAGTTACAAGACTCTAGCTAAGTAATTCTCAGTGAAGAAAAAAAACAAAAAAAAATTATGGAGAACACCTTAAGCACCCTCGGGAGCCGCACTGCAGGAGTTCTCCGGACATGCTTGTTTTGTGCCAGCAAGCGATATTTTGCCACTTCTGCTTACTAATATTTCTTTGTGTCATCCGATGATAACATCATCTAACAGTGGAAAAAAGTTTTAAAAGTGAGCTCGTGACAGAAAGTAGCGTTTGAGTTTCGGTGGGCGGGACAACTAAGGAGGCGTCAGAGTTGCCGTTTATGAGGGCCGCAGCGCATTTGTTATTTATTGTCATGCCGCGAAGGGCGATACCTTTGAGGCAGACGACCAGATTAAAGAACGCTACGAATCGTTCGCGGGGGCTGTGTTCATGGGGTCTTATCGGCCCTTCTGGCATTCCCCGTTTTATGCTCCTGAACTTCTCATTTTTCTATCGCGCAATCTTCCGTTTGAGTATGCTTTTTATTTTCCTAACTGTTCGAGCATAGTTGTATTCCGACCAAGCATTCAATCGGGAGAAGTGGCGTGACAAAATAAGACGAGTGGATCCCGCACAGAGCGGAACAAACGCTGAAGAAGAAGATCAAGCATAGTTGTGGAGAACGCCCCTGCTCAAGAGGGGAATTTGATCCTCATTTGTTGTTAAAGACAGCTCCCGGGATAGAAGTGCCATGGATACTTGCTTTTCAATTATGAAACAGTAGCTGATAAGTAATTCCCCTAAAGAAGAAAAAAAAGCAAGAAGAGTCCTCAAGAACACCATAAACAAAATCGCTCCCTGGCAGTCACACCTTCCTGCGGTCTCTGTGCAACCCCTGGCTCACAAATCACTTTATCACATCTCCCAGTAGTGGATATCATCGAATGCGAAGAAAAGAAAACAAAAAACAACAAAAACATGGAGGAAAAACTCTTGAAAAGGAAAAGAAATATTTAAAAAGCCGGCGTCCGGTTACGGTAGTGTGCATCATTTAGTGTAATGTGGTGCGTCGAGCTTTTGCACCACGAAAATTGGGTCGCTCGTGATTTTTACGCGTTTTACCTTGCAAGATGGGTTGGAGTTGACTGTATGTGCTCCTAATAAATAAAATGTAATAAAGGAGAGCAGAATCATTCATGGGCACGAGCGCGGTCAGCAAAAAGGGCATGCAATTCCGATTAATGCCCGCCGCCCCAACAAAGAACAACTGAGCGGCCCTCCGTCAGAGGGCATCTAGCAAGTGGGCGGCGTTAGAACTAGAACTTTCAGCGGCTGTAGCTCGCTCCTCGCTCGCTGTGGAGTCGCGAGAGTGGGACAGTCTCTAGCTTGGGGCTGTACTACTTGCACAAGGAAGGACGACCATGTACTACTCGAGCGCGGGGGCTGTTTTTAAATTGGTTTCTCAATTAAACGTTAGCAGTTGGAAGTGCGAAGGGATTTTCGCTAGTCGGCTTATCCAGCTTATCATATATTACTTCAGTTTCGTTGCTGAGAGATTCGATACAATTTTTGCAGAAGTGTTGCCTTCAAGTACTTAATTCTCATTAGGAAATAATTTCATTGGTGCAAGCTCCATTGCTTGAGTTGCTTTTGGTGTCTTGAAAAATTCTTGGCTTTTTTATATTTTCGTTGTCCCATTTACATGATTTGTTGTTTTCAGTTGGAAAAGAAAACAGTAAGCCAGCCAGCGGCGAACGTGGCCGTGGTGGCAGAGGTCGTGGTCGTGGAGCTGGGGGACCCCGTCCTCCCCGCCCTGAAGGAGAGTTTTCTGAACGTTTCGGAGAAACGCGTGGAGGCCGAGGAGGTGGCCCACGCGGCGGAGGTCGTGGTCGCGGCGCTCCATTGTAAGTTCTTGTTTTCCAGTGCTTTTGTCTTGGTTGTAATCTGTCAGTGTACTGCTGTGTTGTGTGCGATAGCTAAGTAATCTGAAATTATTCCAGCCGAGGACGTGGTGGAGGTGCCAACACTTTCACAGATGCTCCAAAGGACTTCCAGAATAATGCGGATGAAGTTCCCAGTGAATTACCTCCTGCTGAGTTCCAAGGTGAGTTTCACTTTCACCTCAGGGCTTGTGTTTGTTAGCTGTGACTGGTTTGGAGTTACAATGAGGATAGCATTGAAAGTATAGCGCAAAGCCTCAGAAGCAATGAGTGAATAGTATGTTTCTTGCCTCTGGCGCTAAGATTCCATGTTTGAGGTGAGCGCCGAGGGCGAGGTGGACGAGGAGCTTTCAACGGAGAGCGAAGAGGACGCGGCGGTTTCCGTGGTGGACGTCAGTTCGATCGTCAGAGTGGGTCAGACCGTACGGGTGTTCGTGGAGAAGGACAAGAAAGGTGGCTATGGCCGTGGCAATTGGGGAGATGTCAAAGTGGGTAGATTTTTTGTTTTGTTATGTCAGCTACATCATATGTGTGTTGTTCTATATTGCCCTGAGACTGAGCCTTCGAGGCCCCTTTGCTCCTTCACGTCTTGGGTAGCTCAACCCTTAACATTTGTTATGGTTATATCAATGTTCAGTGGAGTGGTGGTGTAACATTCGCATTCGCCCAGAAGTTTGAGTTGCGGGTTTGAGTCCGGCCTGAGGTCAAGACTTGTGTCCATAACTCATCATTTTTGTGGCTGCAAACTGCGGCGTTAAACAGCAGTAAGAGCAGCTTCAATATATAGCAAACTTTTTTGATTTGGTGCAGTGGCTGTATGCTAGGGTTTTGGGTAAATATCATTTCTGGGTCTTTTCCATCATTACAATTCGTTTTGTGCTCGCAAAGTGGCATTGCCGCTCGATTGCATCGAAGAACCTATTAAAGGGTTGGAATAGGAGCGCAGCAAGTACAGTGTGCTTTCTATTTAATCTATTTCGTTGAGGAAATTGCGCTTCCTCTGCTTTTGGGTTCCTTGAGGAATCTTTTGAGTGTGTTTCACACTCTTCAGAGGTGAATTGGATGCATTCAGCGGATTCTTGTAAAAGTACCTTACGCGTTCGTCGAGGTGTGTGGACTGTTGTAGAGTTTTGATGTGTCACGAGTTTTATTCTGAACCACTTTTTGTGCGAATTTATCCAGCTACCGCGAGGTTTCTTTAGGGTGAAATTTTGTCAAATAAGAGGGTAAGAGGTGGGGTCCGTCCCGGGTGCGTAGTGTAGCACACTCGCCTGGAAAGCGTGAGGTGCGAGCTCGAGTCAACTCTGGGGTCCGGACTTTTGCCCTTAACTCAGCATCCTTGTGGTAGCTTTCTCGCTTACGCTGTTGCATGGTCTCTGCGGCGACTCAATTCGCCTTACTCTCCGGAAAGTAGGGTAGTCTTTTTTGCTCTTTGCGTGCTGGGAAAGTAAATCTGTGTGGCATTCAGGAATGGGTTTGTTCCGCAAGCAGTTCCTTTTGATATACATGGCCGTTGACCTTCTTTTACTTTCTAGCTGCCATTTTTTTAAATCAACGAGGGTATCCTGCATTAAAGAGGTTATCTTCGCTTGCTTATCATCAACTCTTCATTCTAAACGGGGCATGCAAAAACTGGGGTTTCCAGCAAGGAGTGAGGCGTATTCGGTCAGTGGAGGGAGATGATCGTATTTTCCTTCAAGAAGAGAAATTATTCGGTTGTTGACTTTTCCTCGGTCTTTTTCTGTTGAAGGAGGTCTTATGGTTCCCCCTTCCCACCTCGCCGCTTCCCGCAGTTTTTTTGTTCCTGGAGGGGGTGGCAAGGGTAGGGCGGAAGCGAAGGAAGAAGGAACTCTGAGAAGTTTTTGTAAATTGGAAAAATTAAGGAAGGTGTTAGGATAGGTTGGGATGAGGAAGGAGGAGCGTAATTTGTAAATTTTTCCCCAGTCGCAGCACGTGCCCTGATTCTGAAGCTTTTCGCACGATGGCTTTCGAGTTTTTTCAAATGCTGTAAGACTCTGTAGGTCTATATCTATTATTTTTATTTATCTATGTAAATATAATGCGCGGGTTCTATGTGCTTCATTTTCTACACCCACAAGTCGCTCTTGACGTAGCCCAGGATTCCAGAATTCAGGGTTATCTTGGCTTATTTTCCGAAAACCAATGATTTTTGTTGTTGTTCAGGATGAGCTTGCTGGAGAGACCGAGCCAATTGCTCTACCGGAGGAACCTGAAGTTCCTCGAGAAAAAACCGCTGAAGAGCTCGCACAGGAAGCTCTTGAAGCCGAGTTCGCGAAGCAGAAGACTTTGAAAGAGTACATTGAGGCTCAAAAGGTGAGCAGCTTTTTCAAGTTTTGACTTTTTTTTCTTGAGTTTCGGCATTTAATCTTGGACTCTTGGAAGGTACAGAAGGAGGCTCCCAAGTTCAACGTCCGCAAGGCTGGAGAAGGTGAAGAAGAGAACTTTGGCAAGCTGGTCAAACTACAAAAAGAAGTGGTTGTCGATAAAGAGGAGGAAGAAGTGTCAATAATTCGCCGTGAACCCCGTGAAAAGGCTCTCCACATTGACATACAGTTTGCCGAGCCGAACCGTGGCTTCCGTGGTGATCGTCCACCAAGAGGTCGTGGAGCACGCGGTGGTGGACGAGGTGCTCGAGGTGGAGGACCTCGCGCTCAGCCTCCTCCTCAGTTTGATTCCTCGCTTGATGCCTTTCCCGCACTTGGTTCCAAGTAAGCGCCGTCGTTCCACCACAGTTCTTCTTCGCAATTGAGCGTCATCTCCAATACATTTGCTACCACATACACACACATCTGCTCGTGCCCATTAGTCATCTATCAGCCCTGCATGTATAGCGTAGTGTCACAGTCCTTTTAGAGAGTGTTTTCCTCCGTTGTTATGGCATTTTCATTTTTGTTGTTTAGCCATTCGATCTCTGTTTTTGATGAATGTGTTTCGTCGGTGTTTCGGTGGCTATTGCTTGTTTGGAATGAAAAAGTCAACTAATGATCTTCTTCTGTTTATTTGTCATCTCAGCGTGTTTATTAAACACATCTACATAGTTGCAGGGAAATGGATTACTATTAGGGCTCTAGCAGAACGCCACACAGAGTTTTGTTACTTGGAGTGTTGTTGTTTCTACTTGTTAAGAGGAACCCCGATAAAACGTATACTTTCTTTCTTCGTCGTTGAACAGATGTGTTATGTACTATTCATACCCCCCCCCCCTACAAATCAATCCTTGTGCGTAACTGTCATGTTTTTTTGATAGAAAACGCGATCAATCTACTTCTTCAATCAATAAATATAATGTTTACGACGCGTACGATGTGTGATATTGATTTGGCGATGGAAGAGGTGGAACAACACGTTGACGACGACGATGATGTGCCCCCGTGGCGCTGCTTTAATCTGTCGCGCCAGTGGACAAGCTTTACACTTGAGGAGAGAATGAGCGGGGGAAATGTTGAATTGTTTGGGAGGGGGTGGATGAGCATCAGGGAAGAGCCAGAGACGGGAAAACCCCGAAAAGTCAACAATAGAAATAATTTTTTTCTGGGAAAATTTCTATCAGGGGCAAGTACGCTTCACCCTCCCCCCCTCGTTCCACCAACCAGTCACGACCCCACCCCTTCTGGGGATCCCCAAACGTGCCCTGAAGCACATGATATATGTTTTTGAGGGTACAGATAGCTAGATTTTGGGGTGAGTGGTGCTTTTACAGCGGGGGCAGTTCCCATTGTCGAGGGGAATTCTTTGAAAACACCCCTCCCCAAAATCCCTTTTCTCGCGCTTTCCCACACGGTTGCAAGACATGTGTCAACCGAATGCTCTCTCGCTGCGAAGGGTCCAGAGGAAATTATCTCATCGCATTTTCTGATCGAGCATTTGGGAGGAGGGAAAAAAGGAAGCAGAGTGAGAGAAGGAAGGAAGAACAAGAAGAAGGAAGGAGGAAGAAGACTTCGCGGTTGACAGATATCCCGAAACCTCCTTACCCTATCCGGGTCCCTACCGCCTTTCCCAGTTCCCCAAAGCTCGTTCTAGAAAAGGAAAAGATCCCGAAAAGTCAGCAATGGAACGAATTTCTTTGCAACTCAGAAAATACTCAAGGCACGCTCTCTGTCACCCCATCCCCCTCTTCCGGCACGCAAAACACGCCCGAGAGGGACTCCCCGACGTACGACGGATAATGCGAATTCTCACTTGGCTTTTATACCTGGCAGGTATTGGTTAGTTAAAGACTCTGGGGCGGGCACATCATTTTTTGGTAATTTTCGTCGCAGTCGCGTGCAACTTCCTCCCCTCCACCCCTTTTCAGCAACATGTGAAATAGGAACAAATCTGCAGCAATAACGAACGCCCGCTCCAACAATGATCGCGCAAGTAAGACCCCCCGCACGTCCTGAAAGCGAGAAAAATCAACTATCAAAATAAGTTTTTCTCAGGCCAAAATACGACCTCCCCCCTCTCTCTCCTGGCGCCAAATACGCCCTATTGGGGATTCCACAACAACGATGTGCCCTGCTTTTTGGGGGTGATGTGCTACTTCCTATCGATAATCTTAGGCGCACTTTTCCGTCGCCAAAAAAACAATATTTTTGCAAAATGCGACCCCCCCCCCCGAAATCCTTCTGGCACGGCCCTCTCTTCCATCCTACTCTTTTTCCCTAGGCACATGTTTAACGGGATGAACCGCGAAAAGTCAACAGTCGAAAGCTTTCTTCATTTCTTGATCGCTGTACTACCGCCTGCTGGGCGACGAGGAAATAATGCACTCGCTCACACTCAGATGGAAGTCTCCTAAGGCTGTGCTGAAACAGGAAACAATCAACTATCAAAAAATTGTGACTGCCAATCACTGTGGTCCACGCTCTCCCGTTGGAGAATTCGCAGCATACGAGCGTGAACACCTGATTTCCAAGCTGGGATTACATCAGTTTTTACTCATGAGAAGGGCCAAAGAAACTACGAGGGGCTCAGTCCAAAGGGGGACATCCCATTCGGATCTGATCCCTTAAGCAGCAGTGCAATATTGCTTCATTTGGGAGAGATTGCCTACAAAACCAATGCCACATAATGGTGTTGACGACTGGGGCCGCGTGTCATCAAGTGTTCCAGGGGTTGCCAAGGCTGTGATGTGCGATTCACGAAAGGGGTGGAAGTTGTGCTTGTTCAAATAAAAATTCATCTGAAGGTACTATATTCTGCGCGCTGTTTCGTCTTGGAGGGGCAATTTGGTGACTCGTGCGCTGGTCCCTTCCTATTCTCATTTTGGTGAAACGTGTCAACTCCTGCGAAACTGTGAAAAATACAAGTGATTCACTTTTTTTACAGAATTTACAGGTCTCCGTAGGGAGGCCTGTACTATTTGATGCCCTCGCTGCGCCAAACCGCGCCCATATTTTTTTGATGGTGACGATATGGGAACAACGTGCACACTGGCAAAAATAATAAAGCTAACAGAGTGGTGTACAAAATGAATATTGCTTGCTATGGCTTGGCTTGTTCAAACTTGTTCTCTCCGAGGAGTTTTCTGACCACACCCACCCAAAGGCGTTCTGCAGGGGTTTTCTGTGGTGATATTGAACGTGTAAGATGTTATTTACAATGATCTAGGAACAAGCCAGCTGCAAGTAGAAGTAGGAAAAACTCCCACTGCAGATGGTGTACAGTGGCTGGGCAAGATACATAACATTGTTTTAAGAAAGGCAGGGCAGCGGGCGCTCTCGTACGTTTGAGTTATCTAGCCGGGGCAAGAGGGGGTGGGGGGGGGAGGAGGTCGTATTTGGCCTGTGATCCTAGAAAACCCCACTAGCTGTTTTCTTTACATTTTCTCGTTTCATACGCGCATACATCCCCCTGGTCGTCGCTGTTTGTGACAGCTGATCGGAGGTGTCCACCCCTCCACCACCACCCCCTCGATCGATGGCAAACTTTTTAGGAAAAGTTGCTAGTAGTGTAGATAGGTTTTGAGAGGGATTTGAGATAGGTTGTACGGAAAATGAAATTTATTTGGTGGGAGGGGGGGGTTTCGGGAAGTTTTCCCGAAGTTTGTCAGGTTGATCCATGCAAGATTAGGTCATCTGAAAATCTAAGAAAGTCACTTCGACACAAAATCGATCAGAATGTTGGGTAGAACAAGAAATGAGCTATAAAACAACAAGAACATGACAAAAAATGACAAAACAAAACCAGCAAAGAAAGAACTATTTGAGAACCGTGGGGGCAATGACTGCAAGAAACTTTTTCACGACCCAATGACGTCCCTATAACTCCTGGCCCAACCAACCAATCTTCTAAAGTCCTCATAAGAACCCCGGGGTATGAGTGAGGCATTTTAGCAAGCGAATGAGCGGTTCAATGGCTGTCTATGAAAGCTCTTTAGAGGCCGCCATCAAACGTCCACATGTCTCTGAGCAAATGCCCAAGACGTGGCGCAGCCTGGCTGAGGAGAGATTTTCCTGAATAAAATGCACAAAAATCAATGCAGCGCCCTCTAGTTCCCACTATGCTTGCTTCGACGGTATCAGGCAATTTGCTGGCAGAGCTCGTATTGCGAAAACAAAAGTACAGAGAAGTATGTGGAAAGCTTCGTCTGGCTAGACGTCGCTATCCTTTTCCTCCTGACTCGGGATACTTCGCACTTTTGTTGACCGACAGGATTAGGTAAAGAGAGTGGGAGCAGTGAAGTCCTCTAGTGGAACGGATGGAACTGGTGACTACATCGGAGCATTCCATTTGTTGTCCTAGCAGTCTGGGCGTAGACTAGTGTAAGCTCATATTGTGCGTGCGATTTCAGATCATATGTTCACTTCTGTCTTTGAATGAGTCACTATCAGTTCCCGAAGTATTTTCAGCTAGTGTACCTTTACAACCATTTTGTTGATAACTTACTAGAAATCAAGAATTTAGGTATACTGTGTCCGAGCATGGGCGGGAATGGAATAGCGACAAGCGGTGTCGTTTCCATACTCTTTGGCCTGGGATGAAGACCGGGTTGGGTTTGCTTCTAGTCACGCCGAGGCTTTCCATCTGCATTGTCGCTTTTGCTGGTGTGCTATACTAGTCAGGTGGAATAAAGGTAGAACGATCTTCTAGCAGACAGAATAACCTCCTAGCACGCTCCTGTACCTATATGTAGCTAAACTAATCGCATGAAAATGCCGCTAAGACTGTGAATGGAATTCGATAGCGTGGCGCTTCCCCAAAAAAATATTTGCGAATGCTGAATGTTCCCTTCTTGGACCGGTAAGTCCTAATCAATACGCTGTAACGCTGTTCAAAATTTTCGCTGCTTTTCAATGTCCACGAAGGCGCTGCTCGCCTTCGGCTGCGTCCATACTTTGCGACAGCTCCATCAACGACAACCAGCGACCACCAGCTTTCCGAGCGTCCGTCAGGCGTCTATGAAAGAGCAGATATCGACCTAGTGAACGGCAACGTCTACCAGCGTCTACCACCGTCCACCAGTGACCATCAGCGTCCCGAGATACTAGGAAAATATGGTATCGATCTAGCGTCCACCAGCGACCGGGAGTAGAGAGTATGGGATCTAGGAGGCTGAGCAGACTGCTGGTAGGGTATAGGAGGACAGCTGGATTAGGCAAACTGTGGCGTGTGCAACCTCACCGAACTACTATTAGACAACCGTACTCCTTTTCGGTGGTTTACGCTGGTGTACGTTGGTGGACGCTGGTAGACGCTGCCATTCGCTGGATCGATATCAATACTTCCCT